TATAGAGAGAGAGAGAGAGAGAGAGAGAGAAGTTTCTTTTCTGTTTCTATATTTTCTACCTTTTCCACAAAGGTGGTTGCTAAGAGCTGGGAGTAGACAGGAAGAGAAATTAATGTTTAAAGGGTAAAGATTTGGTTTTACAAGATGAAGATGTTCTAGAGATCTGTAGTACAATAATGTGAATATATTTAACACATTTAACTGTATACTTAGAAATGTGTAAGGTGGGTGGTGCCTGTGGCTTAAAGGAGTAGGGCGCCGGCCCCATATGCCGAAGGTGGCAGGTTCAAACCCAGCCCCGGCCAAAAACTGCAAAACAAAAAAAAAAGTATCATTATAAAAAAAAGAAAAAAAGAAATGTGTAAGACACTCTGGGGGCAATGGCTCACGCCTATAATCCTAGCACTCTGGGATGTCAAGGAAGGAGAATCACTTAAGAGCTGGAGACCAGAGGAGCAAGAGACTCAGTCTCTACTAAAAATAGAAAAAATTACCTGGAAATTATAGCAGGTGCTTGTAGTTTCAGCTACTTGGGAGGCTGAGGCTGGAAAATCTCTGTCGGCCAGGAGTTGGGTACCATAACGTCATCATAGCTCACAGCAACCTCAAACTCTTGGGCTCAAGTGATCCTCATACTTCACCTTCCAAAGTAGCTAGAACTACAGGCCCTGGCCACACGCCCAGCTAATTTGGTATTTTTAGTAGAAATGAGGTTTCACTCTTCCTCTGGCTGGTCTCCAACACCTGAGTTCAAGCAATCCACCCATCTTGGCTTCCCAGAGAGCTAGCATTACAGGTTGAGCCACTGTGGTCAGCCTGTAAAACAGTCTTTCATCTCCAGGGAAGTGGAAAAGAAAAGAAGAAAGGTAATCCAAGCTTCCTCATTCACTTACCCTGCAACAGGTATTCCATCATGTTAATGGTTCCCCCAGTGACCGGCATCATGGTTACTGGAGGTGCCTCCATGGTGTCTTTCTGATTAAGACAAGAGAACTGGACTCGGAGCTTCCAATCAGGAAAGGCAAAATATACACCTGGAAAAAGAGTTATACTTGTTTATACATCGGAACTGTGAAGAGACACCAGATCTGCCATGGTATTGGCCTTAAAATCAAGATTCATTCATTCACATAAAACTTTCTGAGCATCTAGTTATATAGCCAGTTCCAGAAACTGAAATATAAATAAGAGATAAACAATTTGTCTAATAGTCATCACCTAAAATAAAAAAAGGAAAAAAAGATAAACATAATAATAGAAATATTAAAAAGAGATCATGGAGTTACAGCATATCGTTCTAGTCTCAGATTCTGAAACCTCCAAAAGTGATCTGTGTAACCTTGAATAAGTCATGTAATCCCTCACCCTGGTAGTCAATGAAGGTTATGGGGTACAAAGGACAGAATGGGCATGCAGTAACATTCAGAAGATATGAAGGGTGACTTGAGTGACTTAAGGGACCTTATCTACCCTTCATTTTATAGATACTGAGATTCAGAGGGGGGCCCAAAGATACACACAGCAAGTCAGTGTGTACCAGACTAGAATCTAGTGCTAAGTTTTTTGTTTTGAGACAAAGTCTCACTCTGTCACCCTGGGTAAAGTGTGTTGCATCATAGTTCATAGCAACCTCAAACTGCTGGGGTCAAGCGATCCTCTTGCGTCAGTCTCCTGAGTAGCTGGGACTACAGGCACCGGCCATACGCCCGGCTAATTTTTCTATAGAGTGGGTCTCACTCTCGCTCAGGGTGGTCTCGAACTTACTGAGTTCAAGCAATTCACCCGTCTGGGCCTCCCAGAGTGCTGCGATTACCGGCGTGAGCCACTGTGCACAGCCATGAAGTTCTTTTTTGAGACAGAGCCTCAAGCTGTCGCCCTGGGTAGAGTGCTGTGGCATCACAGCTCACAGCAACCTTCAACTCCTGGGCTCAAGCGAGTCTCCTGCCTCCGCCTCCCAAGTAGCTGGGACTACAGGCGCCCGCCCTCAACGCCTGGCTGTTTCTTT